CTCTTCAGAGAAGTAAAATAGCAGTGCTCAAAGTTTACAAATATCACAGAATATTGGCAGTCCACATGGACTTTTCAAAGTCAAGTTCTCAGCCCCTGCAAAAGAGATAAACTTTCCTAACAAAGCCCTCAGAGAGCAGAGAGAGATTTGCTCTAAAAGCTAAAAAGCAGCCGTTGAATGCATTCTCCACCAAGAATGTCAAGGTGTCTTCCCTTTGTAGAACAATGCGGTCAGTTCATCATAGAAGACCACTAGATTATGCCAGTGAAAATGCGATTTCATTGAAATGGTTCTCCTTAATACAGCTCAGGGCTTTTTTTAGAGTCTAAATTCCAGTCTAAGCTAAGTTCTGTGTGGACCTCTGTCCACATTAGGAGTACTTCGTACTTTTCTGGAGTATCACACTGACATCATTTGTAAGTGTTCATATTGCAGAGAAACAGTCTCAGTTTAAGAACTGCTAGGTGCTCCTATTTATTAAGTCAATAAGAGTTTTTAGGAATAACCTAATCATGTGCAGAGACTGCTTGTGATATGACTGCAGCAACAAACTGGGGGACAAATCAGTCTCAAACCAAGTGCTATAGCGGAACATATTGAAATCTTACTATAATGAAACATCTTGAAGAACACAGTACCAATGAGGGCTGCAATCATCATGCATCATTCTCCATTATCTAAGATTACTATCAGTGAGTTGAAGAATGATCTTATTCCTTTCAATTCCTAAAGAGCACTGTTTCAATTTACTTTATATAGCATATGGAGCAGCCATAATATGACATTGATATTGGTTAAATTTAAATTGCTAAGCTTCATATGCATGAGGATCTGTTGTTACCATCAGTGTTTACATGTATTTTACTAAGAACAGGTAGGTTGCTTTTAAATTAATGAAATAATTCTTTCCATCAACTTCTGAAGACAGAAGCACTAACTTTATATTTCTTCGTTATTGTCATTTATATTTCTTGACAAGCCTGATTGCTGTGATACAGAGTATTTCAAGTAAAATCAACAATATCAATTGGAAATCTGCTACAGAAGACCTGCTATATACTTTTGAGTAGTAAAAGAACGTCCAGAGAATCTTTTAGCAGTGTAATTCCAATAGGCATTTTCTTTGTTATAGTTTCTAGCAAGAAAGCTACCAAAATACTACGAAACAACTGCCTCAACTCAGTGATCAGGCACAAAGAAAACACAAGCTGAACAGAAATAAAATCACATTATCTTCTCAGTTCTATTATTCTTCTATAGCAATTAGTACCTGGCAGTGCTTAAATAGGTACCGTTTTGACAATTTTAGTAACTTTATTCTAGAGTCTAAAAAAGTACTAAATTTTCTATTAAACACTACATATGCACAGAGTGCTGGGGTTTTTCTCTCTGATAAACAATTGTATTTTTTGTGTAACCTTGGCTGTAGTTAGAAATTCTCAGAAATACTCAATGACTACTAGGGATTTTGGAGGGAGATCCCAAAACTTTTCTACTTCTTTTGAATAATAAGAAAGTGAAGCATAGCTTCTACCTGAAAACTTCAGAGAAGAAAAATTTTCTTCAAATGAAAAGGGGAAAGACAAGTCTTGCAGCACATCATAATTTAAAAACACATAAACCCATGTATACGACAATTCTGATACAGGAAAATATATCAGTGCTTAATACCTTGCCTGAAATTACCATCTTTTTGTTGTGAAGTATCAGTGGTGAGAATTGTTTCTACACACAGTAGCAAGATTGTAATCAACAACCAAAAGAACTGGAAAACATAATACTAACATTCTGATTGAGGCACTTTTCTAATAATTTTAAAGTCTGCAAGTTCAGGATCTTGTTAGTTGCTGAAGTGCTGATTACAAAGGACAAGATGCAATGCTCTAAGTACTCACTAATCCTGACCTTACAGGAGTCTGTGATGAAAGACCATTGAAATCTCAGGTGACTGTTAATTACACAGTCAGGCTGAAGTTTATGGACTGAAGTCAAAATAAGCCTTTGTAAAAAGCCTCAGAAAGATACGGTCTGCACTGTATTGGGGAAATATAATTATTAGTAAATAAAATTGATGAAATTGGAGTAATTGTTTTGTTGAAGAAGATGTGGAATACCTCACACTGACCTACAGCCTCATAGAATCTGCCCTGCTTCATCACCACTACAAAGCAGTCAGTCACATACCTAACTGAAAACTGTACACACACAAATCAACTGCTAGAAAGATTTCATGCCACAGTCATATTTAAAGTATGCATGGTAACTTTGGTTTAAACCCTGTACCTTATTTAAGAAATTAACTGCTACAAACTCTTACGCATCTACATTAGAAAACAAAAATCCAACAACTCACTTCTGAACACAAGGATTAAGTCAAAGCATACGTGAGGGAAAACGCTGAAGGCGAAAGGCAGTCCTAATGAGATTATGAATACAGCTTCATGCTAGTAGTAATCTGATACGACTTCTGCAGGTAAAACAGGTCAGCAATGACAGTGCTTTTGAGAGTCCATATTCACCGGGTTTGGTAAAGTACCATACAAATAAAGTTAACATTCAGGTGCAAAAAGAGTTCTGCTTTATAACGATGAATGCATGAACCGCTTACTTTCTTAAAAGTTAGAAATACAACAATTTCCCATATATGGCTTTTTTCCCCTTTGTTATAGTGCCAGACAGAACTGGCTCAATTCAAAAATACCAAAGTAATTCAAAGTGCTGAAAAGGAGATCTGATTTGTTGTGTCATACAATTTTATAAAAGCTATTCAGTTGGAAGGCAATAAATGAGCATTGAAGTGATTTATGCACTTTTGGATCACAATTTCTTGCACAATGTTTTATTTTTAAAAATATATATATGCTGTATACTATTATGTTTATTCTCAGTGGTATAATAAAATCATAAATCTATCTGATGAAAAATAGGCTGTATTCCAATTGTATCATTGTAGCACATAGAGCTGCTGTTATCATACCACTTATAAAGATCAATGGTAACTTGAAAATGATTTCATTCCATGCTACCTCTAATATATTAGCAATAAAAATACTCTTTTTAATTTAAAAGTCACATCAGCTGCTGTCCATCTTCTTTTAAACTCCTCTCCATTTCTGAAACTGACATATTACAGAAGCAAAATATCACCTGGTAACAACAGAGCTATGTTCTGATTTTCCTTGTACAAATTAGTTTAAAAACTAGCATAAGTGTCAGTTCAACAGAAATGCAAAGTTTTCACTCAGAGGATGGCAAGGCACTGGCACAGTATGCCCAGAGAAGCCCTGGAGGTGTTCAAGGCTGGCTGAATGAGGCTCTGGGCCCCGACCTGGTGGGCTGGAACTGAGTGGGCTTCAAGGTCCTTTCCAACCCAAGCCATTCTATAACACTGTGACTAACATTGCAAAAGGAACTATCAACCTTCTTAAAAATCAGAATATATTTTCACTTTGATGATGTTAAACATAACATATAGTGCTAATTGATATAAAATACTATTAAGGAAGAGCGGAGAGTGAAGGTTTCTCAGCCAGTAGCACAAACCTAAGACATACTGAAAAGAAACAGTAATAAGGCATGCCTTCCACAGAATCATCTTGATAATCACTCTAACTTTCAAGCTGGCAACAATGACAAAATCAGTGTTATATGCTAGTTGAAGAGCTGACAATATCTAGTTTGCACATTTGCCAAATATGCTGATGCTAATTTTTTCCAGAGTAACATACTTCAGAAACATCTATTACTATTTTATGGCAGAAACTGAACACCAAATATCCACATTTCACTAACATCAACACCTAGAAAATTGTACTCTGCAGTGGTCCACAACTCAAAGCATATTACTGGGATCTTCACTCTCATTGCTAGCCTAGAATATCTATCATCACAATGCATCTGTAAACAGTAAAATATTACATTAAAACAAACAAACAAACAAACAAAAAAAACAGGTAAGAATAATACAAACAAAAGCATAAAAATCTCTCAGCTTGGCATAAGCAATGTAACAGTAACACAGAGATTACCTAAATCATTTTTCAGTGAAGAACAGCAAAGATTTATCTCCGTTATTCAGGAAGCTGGTTGGTAACAGACACAAAGAGCCCCACAAATGTAGGCTTCATTAAAAGTTACATAATCTTAAACCAGTTGTTATGAAGGCAGTCTTTGAAATTGTGTCTTCCTAGCATGAATACCTTAGCCAAAAGGTAAACACTAACAAAATTTAATATGAAATTATGCTACTTGTTATATTTGAGTGTACTCTTGTTATTATTTTTTTTTGAAAGCGCACTTAGTTTATTTCTATAAGAGCATCTTTGACAGTATTCTAACAGTACTAGAGAGTGCAGCTATAAAATACTACCAACGCTTTTCAAAGTACAAAGAAGGCATGAAAACTTTACTTTTATTTATATTTCATAGAAATAAAAAGAAGGCATTATTTTCAGAGTGACCTACATATGATATAAAAAATGGACAATTACACATATTTGAAAATAAATTCTAGTTATAAAATCCTCTGCTGTACCATAAATGTAATTAAAGTAGAAAAATAATGAATTATATAAAAAACAATAAAATTTACAAATTATTTGCATTTTCTATTTTCATTAGAATTGCTTAACGGACACTATGCGATCCGATTTTAATTTTTTTCTGTAGAATTCTGTAGCTTCCAGTGAATAAAAATACTCATAGCAATAGGGAATATTAACTGCCATGGGAATACACATTTTCTTCTTCCAATATCACACCTACTGCCATAATTCCTAAGATTAAGATAATTCAATTGCTAAAAATACCATGCAGAGAAAGACCATAGCATAAAAATTAAGTGGTATTAAATACTGTTAAATGCTCAAGTGAAAAATGCAAATTACTACAGATACAATTTTAAGAATTTTAACCTGCTACTAGAAAAGAAAGAAGAGAAAAAGTGCATTTCTTACCAAATATAAGTACTTTCACTAAGATAGAAATAACATTGTCTTTACCTAGAAGAATTCTTCTTTATTTTTTCATCAAGATCATCAAGGATCTGTTGAAACTCCAGTTCTCCAGGGAGAACATTTAATAAACAGTCTAAATTGGAAGAATCAAGAGAATACTCTCCTCCCCATTCCATATTCAGAATCTGTAAAACACATAAAGAAAATCAGTTAAATAAGGAAAAAAAAAATCACAATATAAGTATCGAAGTTTACAATGTTTTTTCTTCTGAAACACTTATATTAGTAAGGTAAGCTTTTATGTAAGGAATTTAAAATTATTGTTGAATAGTAAACCTAATGTCCGCTTCTGAGCATAGTTCTATAGAGACATGCACCTGCAAAAAAAGACAATTTTTTTTAGCATCTTTCATTTTCCATTTTCAAAAAATCAGTTATTTTAATATCAGCCAGAATAGAAGCTTTCTTCATTATATTACGATTATATTTTTACTATAATGACTAGAAATTATAAATATATACATTAGTGGATATTTTATTTTCTGTATGTGCATTTCTCCTCAGTAGTAACTGTTTTCTTGTATTTAAGCACATTCAGCTCAGAATCCCCTCCAGCTCGACCTTGAGCGTCTCCAGGAATGGAGCATCCACCACCTCTCTGGGCAACTTGTGCCAGTGCTTCACTCCTACTGTAAAAATCTTCTTTGTTATATCCACTTTAAATCTCCATTCTTCTAGTTTGAAACCATCTCCTCTTTCCAATCACTACAGACCATGATGAAGAGTCTGTCCCTTTCCTTCTTATAGCCCTCTTTAGCCACTGAAGAGAAAGCTCTCAGACTTTCTCTCTGCCTTCTCTTCTCCGGGCTGAACAGCCCCTGTTCTCTCAGATTGTCCTTGTGGGGGTGATGTTCCATCCCTTGGATCATTTTTATGGCCTTGGATTACAGCTTGTCTTGTGAATACTTACTCATTGTACTTTCACTAAAAAAAAAAGCCTTCTATCACTAGCAAGCTATACTGAAAAACAAATTGTGACTGCCTACTCTGTTAGCATTCAATTGCTAAACTGTCAAGACTGACACTTTTTTTCCTCAAAATATTGCTTATTCCCATTTAATACTGAGCTCTCTAAAGGACTAAGCCTTCAACTGAGCAAAAAGCTGCTAAGCTTATGTGAATCTTCAGAAGTGATGGCATAAATAACACTTTCTAAGCCCCATTGCTAGCAGATAAGCCGCCCTTCTCTTTTTATGGAAATGCCTCCAGTCACATTTTGGGAATTTACCTTGAGATGCTACTATAGAAATAGACTGATGAATCCTGAGTGAACTGTCTGCAAGATACTTGCTCCAAAAAGCCATCAGATAAAGACAGAAGGCCAAGACAGTATGTTCTCAAATATGAGTGCAGACGTACAAATAGCAGAATGCCACATTTCTTCAAGGCAGTGTCACCACTGATTCTGGTCTGGGTCTTTCAAAACAAATTTATGGGCTGAAGGTATCTTAAATCTTACTACTTTGCACATCTGAATTAACAGTTTAGGACAATAAACATTTAATGGATATAACACTTTCTAAAATTCTCAGAAGCTATAGAATACCTCTCTGCAAATAACAATGCAAAGACTTCCCAATATTTTCAGATGTAGCTTTTTCATAGGAAAAAAAAATCACCTTGTAAACATGACAGCCAGGTTTTCATGTAGGCATTCCTGTAAGACTTGCATGTCATACATTTTCAGTTCACTTGTCAAAACAAGGTAATTATTTCTTTCACTTTTGGTTTGTGGGAGCAAAAGCAACATTTGATTAACCAATTTTCAAAAAAAGTTTTAACTGGTCAGTAGTTTACTCCTTCATACAAAAACTATTCCCGCAATGAAAGACTGTAATGTTGAAAAAGTGAAAAGCAAAAATGTTTTAGAAGAAAGAGCAAGTACAAGAAGATATAAATCACTTCAACTTGATCACTCAGTGCAACTGGTGCCAAGGCCCTAAGTGACTGGTTCCCTGTCTGATGGTACATGGCCATGCCAAAGCCAGCTACCAGCCCAGTGAGATGCTACCCTAGAGAGACACCCAGACAGACCTAGACAAGCTTGACCAGGTGATCCTCATAAGGTTCAACAAATCCAAGTGCAAGGTCTTGCACTTGGGTCGCAGTACCTCCTGATGGCAGTAGAATGTAGCTATACTTCTCCCAGTTTATGACACAGACCCCATTACTTTAAGGTTTCAACAATGAGTGTTTTGTTACTAGTAGAACATTATTTCTACTGCATAAAAATCCATTCCAACACTTCTAGCAACTTTGTATATTAAAATTAAATTGTAAATTGTAAATTAAATAAAATTATACCCTGCAAATGGCAGGTGGTTGAAACTAGATAAGGTCCTTTTCAACCCAGACTTGATTCTAAATGTTGACAGATTTTTTTACTGATAAATACTTCATATTGATCCTCCTTTATTTCTCTATTACCTTAGTCAATTACAATTCTTATTTTGACTTGAAGTCTGTTTCAGATATCACAGCAATGTGGGCAATTTTTTTGCTATAGTGCACATCACCTGGACAGGTAAATAAATAAATAAATAAATAAATCTCAATACAGCTTTAAGGTTTAGTTTCCTTGTTTTGGTTGCATGATAACTTCTGCTATTTACCATAACTCACATATATGCATAGACAAAACCCCTTAGTGGTAAAAGAAAGGGTAGGCTGGTACTGCTTTATTCAATTTCCAGACTCATTTCCAGACAAAGACTAGTGTAGGCTGAATCTAATTATACTACAACTCTTCAATTTGGTCCTTGAAAAGCCATTCAATGGTTAAACAAGAACCCAAGATATGTCATTAATTTCATTCAGTTAATGTCAATGTATTATTTTAGCTCTTACATAATGAAACATTATCTCCAAATAGTTTCAGTACAACCTTCAGTATTTTTCAAGGTAACTTTTAAATAACTATTTATACTTTGCATTTAAATAATAATTTGCACATACAAAGTATTTAGAAACTATTAGTATTTAGTATTTAGAAACTATTTAGAAACTATTATGCAATATGTTTAATCATTTATTAACTTTTTTTTTCCCCACACATAATGCTATGCACTTCAGCTTTGTGCAACACAACATCCTGGCAGTCAAACTTCCTGGACTGTTACTTAATTGTCAACTTAACCATCTGAATACTTACTTTCATAAATTTTACACCTAGAGATCTCATTCTGCATGTATCCAGGAAAATAAAACTATTACCATTAACATTAGTTTAAAAGGAGGCTTTCAGTGTACCTGTGATTTGTAAATAGGGATATTTCAAAGTGAATCACTGTATGCACACATAGATAGCCAAATCACTGAAGCTTTTTTTCTGACACTGCTTCTTATCTTAAAGGAGATATATCTTACTGCCCTCGCATCCTTGTAAAACTACAGGGGGATGAGAGAATTGACAAGATTTTTCATCACTAAGCTTACATTTTCAAAACATCATCTTAACAATGACTTTCCTTATCTGTCTTTAGTTGCACAACTGTTCCCAGCCACTTTACAGCACAGAAGATGTCATCTGCAATTGCACAGCAGACAGCAATAGAGATGGGAATGGCTCAAGATAATATTCAATATGAAATTCCTACTGCACTGGATTTAGTATCACTGAATATTTAAAGTTTTTTTGGACACAATATAGGACTAACACAAGAAATACATTTAAAAATCAGAATTTTTTGAGATCTATTGTGATATATACTACTAAAAGCTTTTTAATCAACTCACCCTTTTAGAAATCTTTTCAAAATTTTATGCCTAAAATAAAACAGTAAAAAAGGGAAGAAATCAAAATTTCAATTTATAAAATAATAAATCCTTTTAGGTTCTGTTAATAATCAGACACAGAAGGTCTTTATTTATATTTTCCAGTTACCTTTTCATATCCACCTATTATCCAGATTTTGCCAAAGCATACACAGCTTTCACAAAAATATTACCATCTAGTGCCAGAAACAAGAACATTCAATGCATACCAAAAGTAGTATTAATGTGGGCAGTTTTTAGATAATAATTGGAATGCCACGAGTAACTCTGAAGCATGTTTTAGTAAAAATATTTTATAATGTTTCTGCTGCAGATATTTTATATTTAAATGTTAATTTTATACTCTAGTTTTAACCATCATATATATAAAACAAATTTTCCCCTGCATTTTTCAAAGAGATATTCTCAGTTTCTATAATTAAATTTGTAATCACATTGGACACATTCTTCCCCTCAGACTGTTCCATTATAAAAGACAGCAAATAAGAAAGTGAGATTAGGACACACCATAATACATAGGATTGAAGAAACACAGCCCTCAGTTTGTCTCGTATCTAAAGGAGTAACACTGGGTTGCAGTTCTCTGATCTAAGACAGTTAAAAGCCACCAAATGAGAAGTACAAAGCCTTGAAAACAGACTAGATACGTAGCTCCTGTAGAAATCTTCCTATACTAAGCATCAGCTAACATGTATTTCTGCAGAAAATTGTATGTCATGATTTTTAACATTTGTGGGTTCTCCAAACTATGATGCTTTGTCCTGTTTTATATATACCTGTGCATGCAAAAATTTAAAATTGAGATCTACAAGTTCTCCTTATGACTTTGCTTGTATTCTTTGGATCACAAAGTGAAATGCTGAGAAAACAAAGAAGAAAATCAGCACTGCTTTCTTTGTTTTCCCTCTACATGAAACTTGTAAGAGATTCTCAAAGACAAAGAGAGAATTCTCATTTACATAAACTTAACCAAACACTATCGGTCAAAGGCAGTGACTTTAAAAGAAGTCTGGAGTTGCAAAGAAACGCCTAAGGAGTAACGTCAAAAAAAAGGAATAAAGCACAACATAACTATATAATCTTCAGAAAAGAAGAAACTGCTATTTCTGAGAAGTGAAACACTCTTGATATCATCTCTGTCTCTCAGCTATTTACCCCACAGCTGGAGCCACATAGTATACAATATCCAGCATTCAACATGTATCAGCCAGCAATTTTTGGAAAACAAACCAACAAACATTACACAACCTACATGAGAAAAGTCGGTGGTATCCCTCATCTTCTTATTAGCCTTTACAATGACTAAAACCATAACTGACAAAAAAAACCCAAAACCTGTTTGTACAGAAGT